GGAGTCCTGATATGCCTATAGCAATGAGCATGAGCTTAACACCACGACTATCCGTTCGCACCAGTTTCCATTATATATGGTGCTGGCAACCTGACTGTTGCAGCTTGTTAGTCTAATATAACAATAAGGATAATGTCAAAAGATGGTAGATTGGGTAATCTGTATGACGTTAACTAACCAGTGCATGACAACTAATGCAAATGCTCACTGAATTTCTCTCTCTGCGTAAAATACTAGTGATTTCAGTTACTTTATACTCTTGTTTTTAATTCAACTCGAAAAGAGAAAAGCCCTAGCTCATCGCTTTATGTCTTAAATGGATAGTATTTTAAACAACATCTGTAAATAATCGAACCGAGCACCGCTTCTTGTCAACTGCCTCATACGGTATAGCCGTTCTAACTAGGGGATCTGGCCTCCGGCTTCAAAGCACTGGCATTCGAATAAGTACTCGGTTTACTGAAGTATATAAATATATCATAAGTAGTTAATGGACTACTCGACAATATTTCCCTGGAATCACAAGACCGGTTTCTCTGTTCTTGCCACTCAGGCAGGCGTATCTGGTAATATTTTGTCAGTTCATTCATGTGCATGTACCCAAGAAGTATATTTTCGTCGCAACAACCTCATTTGCAGCACCGGGTAATTTGAGATGTACAGCCCCTTCACAGCCAGTCCATCGAAAAATCAATGCTATGATTCGATGTCTTATGGGTCGTGTGCTTCCAGGAAATTTTTCGAGTCCACCATGTACTACTCTTTATGAAATACTCTCCAAAGACGCTCAAGTCATGTTTGTTGCGGTTAGTAACATCTAACCCACCTACAAAACCGGTCGTTTTCTTCGAAGACAAATATATATACCTTATCTTCAAAATTCTTATCATCGTCTTGGTACATTCATTCGGTGACCCTTTTTGACCTGTTTTCAGTGATTCACCAGATCGGTAGTCCAAATCGAACCATTGACACGGGGACTCGTCACCGCAGAGTGAATGGTTATAGTTGACGATTAACAGCACGTAAAAATAGCACGTAAATAACTCCACCGGATGGAGGCGAGGCAGGTGCGTGCGCATACTCGTTCAGATTGAAAAGTTACTCTATGAATAATAGCATACCTTATTTCGATAAAGCACGTTTGGTCCGTGAAAAGGCACAGCCGGAGATTGATTGTTGCCATAGAATTCGACCTTTTATTGATTTTGAACCAATTTCGATCGTCCCTTATAGGAAAGTCCGATCAACTCTGAAATTGACGGAAAGCAGCAGAGAGATTAGAAGATGTTTTCTGAATTCATGTAGATATCATTGGTATTGCTGTTTTGGCGGTTGCATTCAACCGATCCGTACGTATTCTCTTTTACTGTGTTATTTAAATTTTCACCACATTATTCTAAATGTCAACGGAGGGAAGTCATCGAAACGCTGTCCTTATATTAATATTATTGATATGGCTACTCGTGAGTAGCTAGTTGATGGACATCCTTTAGTCCCGTTCATTAATTCGTTTCTCTCGATAAATGGACAAAACATTAAGTAACTATCTAACCCCTCTGAAACTCATATCTAAACACACCGTATTGTTCAACTTTGTCACAACTAGTTAGTTGTTACGAGATCGTCTGTTTTTCTTCTTCCTAAATATAGTATTCTGCATCTGGATCGATCACGTTCGTGAATCGCCATATCTGCTTAGGCAGTATACGTTCCATTTGTTGTGCACGTAGTGAATGCCGATTTATGATATCTTCAACCCCATGAGATTCATATTCTTGTGGCCCAGTTACGATTCATAGTATAGTATAGTATCCTCGTAGGTTTTGGGAAAGGAAACGGTCCTAATTTTCTTCAACGACAAACCGTATTTACAACACATTGACTAAATAAACGCTACATTACAAAATAACACGCGTCTTGAAAGATCAACCAAAAGGATCGCGTTCAAAACTCATCAAACGATTCCAGTGTTATGATGATGCGTGTGCAACAGTTTGCTTCGCTCACTGTGTATACGTGGATTCAGACTATAATGTGCGAATAGTTGAACATTATTTTGTGGGATCTGCATGCAGTACAACGTAGGTATCATCAATTCGAATTTAGTTACTGCAGCAGCGCGCCACGACACCGAGTCACTGTGATTTCGTATTGTGTACCGTTCGAAAATACGTGAGCAACTCCTTGAGTTAAGCTCCGATGTCCTCCCCTCCAACCCCTGAAAAAACTAGTTTGTACAAGCGGAATCAAATATACGACCACCTTAAGTGGGTGCGATAATTGGTTTGTCGTATTTCAGCACATTTGCCCAATCTCTAACATATAATGATCTATCGTCAGGCCACGTACAGATACGTGGGCTAAAATATAATTTATTATTTTTATTATTAATGTGGAATATTCAGAGTTGCAAAAAAATGAGATCATCTAGAGATTGGTTCATCTCGGAGTCGAAACAATTTCACCCTTGAAATCGTATCGGACGATATTGAGAAAAATCACACTCAGGCGTATGTGATAACTCGATCAAATTACTCCATTCGCTCGCCTGACCACATTCGTACTGTATTTAGGTGTATATATATGTATGTATGTATGTATATCTGTTGTGCAGAACAAGCGTGCCATTCACCTGTGAAAATTCTTGGATGTACTGAAAAACTATTTCGCTCTTGTTAAGATTCGTCAACAGTGTCAACCTTCTGAATTCACTGAGACTCAAACCCGGGCACGGAGAGTTGGCCAATCCAACTCGCCAATCAATTGGGCAATCCGGATGGGCTCTCAACAGCTTGCTACTCGCCAAAGCTATTTGATAAACAAACCGTTCCATCCGAACAAATTCGTGCTTAGCAAGTGCAAGCTTTCCACCCAATCTGGTTGGGCCCGACTGAGGAGTCGAACATCCGGAAGTGTAGTGTAACAAGCTGCCTGTGGGCCTGTCCAGATAACCCAAGTGGCTAGAGCATCAGATACATGGCTCCTTGTGCCCGAGTTGGAGTTCGAATTTCAGTCGATTCTATCGATATGACCTATACTAATGATAATGATGATAATTACAAATTTGGATGAAATAGGTGTACAGTGCGTCCAGTGGTAAGTAACATATTGAACCCGTTTGGTGAGCATACTTGGACAAATTTCTTTCTCATTCTCAGCTGTTGTCTGATAGTTATACTTTCGCGTGGACGATAAAAGAAACGAATTGGGTCAAATGGAGCCAGTGGCCTTTATAACCTAAAAGTGTATGCACACACACTGACGAGGACTCCAACTCGTGCCATTATTCAGGTCCAAATATGAAGCTGGAAACTCCCTCGACAGCTGATCCAGATCTCTCACTCTGTACATCTCTGGACCTACTCGCTGAGGGTGTGCATGTTGTCAGCTCTCATGGTAAGCTTCTCTGCTCTGTCTAAATCCTAGGTCATGCAAACACAGGAGCACAGTCACGATCAAAGCTAACGGAACGAGTTTCGGGTCACGTGGCTCAGCAGGATCTATATATAGTCTGGGTCGTCAAATGACCGAATTTCAAGTCACAAAATCGAGTCACGTGACTCAAAATCAAATCAAATCAAACAAAGGTTTTCGTTAGGCTATGTTTTACTCCGGCGAGCACGAACAGATTAACAGATTAACATTTCACGTGTGACGAGATTGTAATGACTGTTTTCTTTTTGTTCCAAAGTATGCCATACAAATGAAGTGTGTTCGCACACCGATCAATGTGCACACTATCATGATTTGACTGGAATTCACTCCAGTGAGTAGAATACAGCATGGTCTAACACCCACATTAACTCTATCATTTAATACTAAGCTTCGGTTTCCTAAAAATAAAAGAACTAAGGATAATTAAAATTGGTATTTATGCACACTGCCATTTTTCCATTTTCCCGGTTACTACACTCTTTATTTTGTCTTATTGTGGTCTGCCAGGGAAAAAAACAATTAAAAAATAGTCAAACCATAATCCACTGCTCAGTGTTTTGGAGAATAATCAATCTGATGGATATTAAATATTTTTGTCAAGTACACAATCTGCTCTGATTGAATTCTCTCTCGCTTTCTATTTTAACGAAAAAGCACTTATGTTTGATCGTACGTGAAAAGCTCAAGCATTTAAGTTCTAATCCAATTTCACTGGTTACAAAACTGTCTGTTTCAAAATCTAAGATGGATTAGTATTGACTTATCCGGTATTTTGTCCCTACTTGTACGTAGAAAACCTCAGGACTTAGTTCGTTGCAGAATTGATAATGAAGTCCCCCACCGTTTGACATACACAAAAAGCTTAGGAATAGTACCATTTAGCTGATCTATCGAATGTATTTGATCCCGTTAAGAATACAATCTTAAATCCATCGGTTCGAGTCGAGCAAAAGTTAGTAATGTGTATTTTGAACTTACCTGGCAATTTAATTTGACGTACAGTTCCTCCACTGGGCCAGCGTGTGAAACCTTCTGACAAAGTGGGATGTGATTTGGTCACTTCAATCTGATCTGGATTTTTTCGTTTTGTTTCAACCTGACACGAGGACGAATCACCGTGAGTCGGGGCAGCATCCGAAGGGCAAACTGGCACATATGAGGACGTTGGGCATGTGTCATCCTGACCGACGGAATGTCCAATGGACTTATTCTTTTTTTGTATATCCGATTCATTGGTGTAGGTTGAACGACGACGTATACGGGCGCACCAAAGATGCACAACCGAGGGTGTTGTTAGTTTGGCAGGATTCGTTTTAGACTGCTCTTGTTCCAATGAGAAAACACTGGTTTTCGAAGTCGATTTGATCGAACTTGTTCTAGAGCACTGCGGTTTCGTTGGTGTTTGTGGTATATCCGGTCTGGAATCCGTTTTGGTGGGGACCGATTTCAGGCAACTCTCCGAACAGGATCGTACGCTATGATAAAATTGTGGAACATATTCTTGTTCCACACACACAGAAGTCCAATTCCACATGCCACATGTTGTATCCCCGTCAGTCCAGTCATTGAACGATCCGCACGAAACACATCGTCGTGAACCGAATTCCGGTTTAGTCCCGTTTCCATTCTCTTTATCCCAACAATCACACGGCTTCAACGGACTCATGCGGACTAGGTCGAAATTGTACCGTTGACGAAATCTCTCCACACTCCGTTGACAAGCTTGAATGGCCTCTTGGTTGCATGGCCTCAGATTTTCGTCGGAATCGACGTCAGTGTGTATTTCCAACTCTTTGAACAGACAACGGATCGGAGCCACAGTCATGTTAGCGTCTTGCGGCTTGAAACATGCGGCTGATT